TTCATTCTTTGAACTACATTAAAGCTTCATGAATACGTATCTATGAACAATATAAATGCAGTAATTCTGTCAAGCAGCATTGCGGTGACCTTACCATGAATGGGTTACAAGACAGCAGGCCCCTGGGGACAAGACCACCAACCCTCCTACAGAGGATTAAGACGTCAGGCTCAAGGACACACAAACCACAACTGCGGTGTAGCCGAGCTGTTTAGTGTCTCACTGGAGCAGCGCTGTGCTTTGATTTGAATGTAGGATATCACTTTCTTGCTGTTTTGTCCCATTTTGTACGCTTTTTTTGTTCATTTTATGTCCCTTTGTAGCCACTTTATGCCTGTTCGTTACCATTTTGTATCTCTTTATTTCTATTTTATCGCTCTTGTAGAGATTTTCATCTTTTTGTCATCACATTATGTATGCTTGTAACAATTTCGCATTTCCTCGTATTCTCATTTCGTTTCCCTTCGTCACTGTTTTTTCTTTTTGTGATCAATTTTAGTTTCTCAGTCTTCATTTTGTATCTTTTCATGGCTAACATCAGTTGCCTTGCACCTATTTTGCATCTTTTTAACCATTTTACACCCCTTTATTGCCACTTTGCACCTCTTCATGCAAGTTAAGTTCACTTTCAGCCATTTGGCCTCCTTTGTCACAAGGTTACACCATTCTCATTTTTCTTCTTTTCTCCTCAAGTGGTTTAATTCTTCTTATTGCTATTTTGCATCTCTCAGCCTCTTTGTTGTCAGTTTAAATCTTTTTGTTAATAATAGTCAATAATCAATGACATTGTAGTTATTTTCTGTCACTTCTGTAGCTCTTCATTATGAATTTAAATCTTTGTTTAGACAGTTTGTCATTTGTCAATTTAAGATCAGTTTATATCCATTAAGTTATTCTAAGGAGCTTGGAAAGAAAAGCGTCTGGACTTCTTTAAGTTTCCTTGAAGACGTTTCACCTCTCATCCGAGAAGCTTCTTCAGTTCTAAGAGCGATTGGTGGAGGGTCCCGGATTTTAAGCCCTATGGGAGTTTCCCCCCCAAGAGGGACAATGGACGCCCTAATGATCCTCTACCTAGTCACATGAGCCAAGGTGTGAAAACTGGTGTAGGTCACAATCAGCCAGGGTTTCAGGTGAGCTCATTGTGAAACCTGGCCCCACCCCATCGTGTGATTTCCTGAGGTCAGATGGCCCAGGATGTGAGTGGGCGTTAAGGCGTCTGGGAAGGGATTTCAGAACTGGATTATAGATGGCAGACAGTTGGTGTCGTAAACCACCACCTCTGTTCAAAGATGGTTGCTCACAGTGGACATAGATGAATTATTTTACTCCTCTTTCAAACAGTCTTCTCTGTCCAAAATGCGAACATTGATATCCTCGAAAGAGTGACCTTTGTCCCTTAGATACAGATGGACAGACGATAGAAGCTTCTCGGATGAGAGGTTTAAAAAAAAAAAAAAAAAAAAAAGGTCTTCAACTAAGCTCAAGTCCTTTTTTAAGCTCCTTAGACTACGATGACGCAGATGACTGAGAACCTTCACATTCCATTAAGTTATTATTTTACATCTCTTTTTTTGGTCAACTTGAATTTGATTGTTGTCATTTTGCTCGCTTCATCTCTTGCGTCCCTTGTTGTATTATCTCCGTATACGTCAGTCTTTTCCTCTAATCTGACATATGGTCACATGTCTGTAGTGTATTCAATCAAGTATAACCTGCCCACATCACCACATTTGTTTATTCAACACTTCAGGATGATGGTGAGGAAACACACTACAATACAGCATCGCTTTGTGACACGCCATCAGCTAATAAAATTCCCATCTCCGTCTGACAGTCATTTTGTCATAGTCATGCTGTGTCATACCCACATTATTCTCAACAAACACCGACATGACAACACTGTCTGCATTTAGCATTCCTGTTCATGACTTTCCTTTTCTTCTTTTCTCTGGGAATCAAATCCGTGACCTTTAAAGTGAAAGCTTGCCTATCATAATTTAATCCACTTGACATAACTTTCAGTCAGAAATTATCAGTGCGATGCTCTGATGCTTCTTATCATGGAAATCAAACAGAGGCAGCAATGAACAACCAAATACATAAAAACATATTTTGTCTTTGTCTCTGTGTTTTCATGTTGGTTAAACTGTGTGTGTGTGTGTGGGTGTGTGTGTGTGTGTGTGTGTGTGTGTGTGAGTGTGTGTCGTGTGGTGTGTAGTGAGCGAGGTGGGTGTGTGTGGTGTGGTGTAGGTGTGTGTTGTGTGTGTGTGTGTGTTGTGGTGATCCGAGCTCGAAAGATCAAGTGAGATTTATTTACCTCTTGAACTGTTTGAGAAAAATTGCAATGTTCATCCCTCGCTTAGCATCTAGGATGGAAACCTGAGGTGAGAGAGAGAGAGTCAATCTGAGGTCAAAGCCCTGGTGGAAACTGTCACACACACTTCACTCCATCTCCCATGCCTTCAACAAACAGCAGCACACGCAGCCCTGCATCAAAAACACACCTCCTGTTTGGTCTCTCTAAATGAGCTGCTGGTTTTCCCTCCCCTGGCGGGCGTTGCCAGGGTTTTTGATTGACCGTCATGTTGACCGAACAGCTCTTCGACAGTCTGAGCGTCAATCTCGTATTTCTGTTTCACTTGGCCTTGAGTCCATAGGTTGAGCCGTCCCTTTACCTGAGACACAGACTTTAGTAATGTAATAGCCGTTTTATGAAAGTGCTCGATTTCTCTTTGGACTCAAGCGTTTTCAGAGAGGTGCTTAGTCATCATTTACGTTTGCCAGTAAGCAAAACAATGTAATATATATTAAAAATATATATGTTAAAACAATGTGCTGAGACAAATGTAAAGCAGGAACTCTACCTGCTCCTCTGGAATCGTTTTCCAGAAAAAACTCCTCACCCTCCTTTTCTTCTTCAGCCCACCAGCAGGGTGTCCAAGCTCTGGTGGCAGAGGCAGTAGGGGAGGAGGAGGTGGGGGAGGTGGTGGAGGAATGTCAGGTGATTTCATCTGCTTATCTTCTATGTCAGCATACCTCGATGGAGGACGAGGAGGAGAAGGGAGAGACATTGTCACGGTAACAGCTACATCCTCTTGTTGGACAGAGAAATCTTGGCTCCCAGTGGCCTGCGAGACGCTGCCCATCACATGCATCCCTGCTGCTGATGGGGCAGTCGAGGACAGGGGAGATGGTGGGTTTGGAGGCAGACTGTAAGATCAGTGGGCCGATTAACTGACCATTGTGAAGGGTATAGTTACGAGGATGAAGATGGGTCATCGCATTTGAAACATCGGATGACACCAAGGTCAGGTTACGAGATCTAAAGATGCTGGTAAGCAAAAGAAAGGAGAAAATTAATGTTAGCTTTAAGTGAGAGAATTAGCTAAGCTTGTTATTAAATCCAAATATACTAAATCTTTGTGACCCATAGGGAGAACCAGAAACAAATTTTGAGTTTACAGTAGAAAACACATTTTACAGACGCAGCAGTTACAGTTCCAGGTTTGTTAGAGAAATGCAGTTCATTGCCCATCCACCAACGGCCATTTGAGGCTGGTTCCAAGAGGGAGTCAAGCCACACAAACTCCCACATTACATTTTCAACCTTACAGTACCAATAGACATGTCCACTTCTGGCTCCAACTAAATCTCATGGTAGCAGCCGACGTGCTAACAACTGGTGAGACTTCAAAATTGAGAGTCCAAAGCCAGGTGGGGATATCAAATGATTATATTTATTCTATGGGAAAAACTTCAATAACTTATCAAGTTATTGCAAAAGAACAAAGTAAAGAGACCGGCCAAAAACCCTCTGCAAAAATATGTATTCCCCAGCTGTTTGGCTAATGGTTGCTGAAAGGTGCTTTTGACTCGACTCTCAGAGGACTGCTGCAGTGGCATTTATGCACTGGAAGACGATGACTTGTCTGGAATTACTCACCAACTATTCACCAAACAGCAAAAAAATAAATAAAACAGAAACAGTGGTTTTCAAAGTAGAGGTTGGCAAGCATTTGCAGACAAGTTAGCAACTTGTATTGGCTTTTGACTAAAGCAATGACAGGTATGTTTTTGGTGCTTTACGACTGAATGAAACAAGTGACAACCAGCAAGCTCTGACAACCACTCGCTACCATTCAAGGAGACACTAGCTGTTCTCTGCGTCTGTGTTTCTGAAGCTACCGTTTTTTGATCTTTGACAGTTTTTTTGCACTTCTTCCTTTTTACAATAATCTCAGCTGATGTTCTCTTTCCTGTTCATGATAACTTTTCAAATAAACCAGTGTTTGACCTCCACGTAGTGCCAATGTGATAGAGCTATGCCTGTTATTTTATATTTGCAAGGTCTGCCTGTAGCTGAATTTCTATAATCTCTATAATTTCTATAATCTTTCTCTTTACATAGCCAAAGAGCTAAGCAAAAAGATACACACAGATAAACATTACACACATTACGTGCATTACACAATCAACTCCAAGTCCAATATAAGGTTTTTTAACTCTCCACCAACTGTTGAAGAAAATATCTGGAATTTTAGGACGCATGTCGACTATAAGAAAATTACTTTTTCTTTGTATTGGGTAATTAAGACAGAAAACCTCAAGTAAGCTGAGAGCATTTTTTTATATTTGGTATGACAATAATCAACAAACAGTGTCACTGTGATAGGACTAATAGGAGAAATCGTGTTCACTGGAATGCAAAATGTAAAAAGCTGCTGCAGAGAGAAAAATGACTTTGGCACGTAAGCATGTTGGTCTCGTGCTGACATTCATCTGTATTATTCATACTGTGGGTGTGTGAGTGTAATTACATGAAAAGCAATTAAACATTTATAAAGTTAAACATTTGCTTTTGAGTCGTGTATGTGTTTCTACCGTTTTTGTGCAAGCCTTTTTCCTCCATTGAAACCTGTTGTGTTTGTTTTTCAAACAATTAAACACCTCCAGCAGTTCTCCGACCTCCTTCTCTTCTTAACCCTCTCAGGCTCAAATTAAACTTTTAGTTGCTAACAACCAAGTCCTGCAGTGGTACTTCTGAGTAAAAAAAACTCATAAAATATATATGTGGGGTAATCAGGTCTGCCTTGAGAGGGTTAACACACATTTCATTCCCTCTTCAAACATCACCAGCCTCACCTGGATGTCAAAGTATCTGCTGTACAAAGGTATGCTTAGAAATTGAATATATTGTAACCCATCTAATAAATAAAGAGTCTGGTTCAGACATTGAAGTCCCCCAGAGGATGAATCCTGCTGGCTTTTGGGGTTTGAGTGACATAACTAAGGTTTGATGCTATATAAATAAAATTTAATTGAATGCGCTTTAGATATACACGCTCCTCAGAGGATGAATCTTCTTGACTTTTTTTCCCTCCCACTGCCTTTTATTCCTAGGACCACCATGAACAGGATTATTGTTGTTTCAGCTAATGCTGTAGATGGATTGCTGTACAATCTGGCTTAGACGTTCATGTTCCCCAGAGGGTGAATCCTTCCTCCAGCAGTATCTCCCCCCTGGTTTAACATTTGTGGTTTTGAGTGGAATATCTCTACAACTGTTAAATGGATTGCACTGAATATGGATGAGACATTCACATTCTCCAGCATATCAATCCTACTGATTTTATTAATTCTCTTTATTTTTCTGTAGCACCACCATAGTGTTGCCATGTGCTGCTTAACTATTAAACTTCGGTCCTCAACATGTCTACCATCATCGTGGGATCAATCAAAACCATCAAAGTATCTCAGGATATGTTACTGGAAACTGATTGCTGTAAAATCGAGTTCCTCTAAGGAGGATGAATCCTAAGGTTTCGATGATTGTCTAACTTTCCTAGCAATAAAATAAGATTGAAATTTTTGATTTTGAGTAAAATATCACAATTACTGAGTGGACCTCTCTCCAAAGCAGGAATCCCACTAACTGTTTTGTTCACCTGATTATCATCATGGCACTGGACCTTTGTTGTTCTATTACTGTACAAGGATTGATGCAAAGCCTAGGTTTAGCATTCATTTAGACACTAAGGATCGAGCCCACTTTTTCTTTTTTAATCCTCTATTGACATTTGTGGTTTTGAGTGAAATAACAGTTATTGAATAAACTACGGTGAATTCTGGTTTAGATGTTTATTCCTCTCCGGACTGAGCAGAAAACTTCATGGTTAATGTAACTCTTACTCACCATGATGAAGAGCATTGCTAATTGCAGTTTTTCTAATAACAACTCCTTTGGCGTTTTTGACAGCCACCGGCAGGAAGCCCACGAATGAATTATTTAATACATACAAGATTCCCCAGTGTGAAGTTCTGGATACATGTCGACAGAGATACACACTTCCTGCTGTTGAATTAGAGATGAGTGTGTTACGTAAGTTAATCTCACAACATTGTTTTTCAGCCAAATTTCATTTATGTTGATTGTGTGTAAATGTTTACAATTAGTCAAAAATGAGAAAAATATTTTCTTTAATCTCTCGGGATATTAAGTTAGTTGTTTGTTTGTTTTATTTGTTTTCTTAGAGCATATCTTGTATTTTAAAAACATTTATATTTCGATTATTATTTTATTAAAAATTTAACAAATGAAAATATATTTATTAATTTTAATAAATTAAATCTAATAACATTTTATAAATGTAATAAAATCAAATAAATGAACAAAAATTATTAAGAAACTAATGTTGCTGTGAGCAGCAAACTTTCCAGTAAAAACGTGATGTGCTGGCTTTGCTTTACTTATTTGGTGTCGTTAGTGTTTTTCAGTTGCAGAAGCATGAGGGTTTGGGTCGGCATGCACGGCTGTGCAACTAGTCATAGTATTGCTGATTGTCATGGTAACACAAACAATGACAGTTTGTATACTTGGCAGAGAACACATTTAGGTCACGATGTGCACGTGTGTTAAAACTACACATACATTATCCTTTTCTCCTGAACACCCTGAGATCTGTTTTTTTCTCTCGCATCTCTTCATCCTCAAAGGACCACAAACAAAACATTTTGACAACTTTCTCTCTTTAAACAGTTTCAGGCAGTTGATTTAAAATGTGAGTGATGATGAGGTCCAATCACATAACTCAAAATGCAAAAATACCAAACTGTTGACCTGGTTCTCATGAAGGTTTCTAATTGGACAATGGGGTTGTGCGGTAGAGGAGGAGCCACAAAAGTACAAACAAGAATGGCCACACTCACACAAATCAACAAAAATAAGAGCAGAACAGCTCCAGAGATAAAGAAAGTGCGGAAAAAACGCAAAATGTAAATGGATGACAACGAAACTAAAATATGACTTTAACGTGGCATTAAAAAGCCATAAAGACCAACTACGGTAACAAGAACAGGAAACTACAAACAGGAAATATAGCCACATGCAAAGAACTACAACAGTCCACAAAAAAGCTACAAACAGATACAAAATGACCAAAAAATCCAAAATGTTTAACAATGACACAGAAAACATTAACAAATAGACACAAAAAGCAATAAATGAACACAAACTACCCAAAAGGTAGCAGAAAATATTCACAAAAAAATAAAAATCACAGAAACAAAGTGACTTAAAGACCACAAAGCGTTAGCATAGCCCAACAAATAGCATAATACCTCAAAGACAGACACAAAAACAGCAATGCACAAAAAGAAGAAGATTCAGACAAATGGATAAAAAACAGCCACAAGCCGATTTAAAAAAAATGAAAACAATTAAAACAAAAAAGTGCACATAAAGAAAAAAGACATACAGCTGATCAAAACAACCACAAAGAGACACAAAATCACCCATAAAAAGTAAAATGTCACAAATAAACAAACATAGGTCACCATGGCAGGTACCAATAGGTGACTGTGATAGTAAAACATGCAGAAAAACAGCAACAACAATTCTCAAACAGCTACAAAAAGAAAAACTAAATGTACAGAGACAAAGACATGGAAAAAGGCTGCTAAGAAACAAAAAAGACAAAACAGCCACAAAGAGACACAAATTATCCACAGATATATTTTCAAAAACAAATAAACAAAAGAGACATAAAATCAAGGTGACAATATAACTGAAAATAAACAAAAACAGCAACAAAGTAATCAAATAAATCCCCCAAAAAGTAAAACAAAATATTAATAACAACAATAAAAGAGTCATAAATATAAAATGCAAAGAGAGAAACAAATCACTCACAAAATGAAACAGAAACTGAAAAATGTAAATTTAAAAGAACACAAAAAACGAGCCAAAAATAAATCCAGGAACAAAAAAAATAAATAAACAAGAAGATTAAAAAGTTGTGCAGGAGGTGATCTGAGTGATGAAAGCATCCCCCG